GTGTTTGACCGTCGGCGTGTTTGCTCTGGTGTGTGCACACCATCCAAGCCTAACCGTGTTTAAACCTCTGAGGATTAATTGATTTTAAACTGTTCTTTGGTTGCTTTACCCTAAACGAACCATACATCTTGAGTTAAAATGTGTAATACTTGATTTAGAAATGTGATTTTTCATCTTTCAAATGAAGCAAATAAATCCCTCCAACATGTAATTATTCAAGTGTTGACTAAAAATAAACGACAAAAGAAGCCGTATGAAACAGCAGCAGTTTCTATTCGAGCCTGAGTTGCTCCATCATCACATACAAATATGGATTCTGAGCAGGGCCAGGTCTCCTCTGCCAAGTCGACAAAGCTGAGCCTGTGCTAGTCTGAAGCAGGCCAGTGGGGCACATCGGCTGCATGGCCTCGGCGTGAGAGCTGCACATTCAGCCGCTGACATTTCAGCAGCCGCTTGCACGACACTCGGCCATGAAGACACTTTTCCCTCAATGAATCGAGCAGCTGCACTTACATTGGCAGTGATAGCGACGAGGATCCTTTAAGTGGGTCATTTTCCTGCTTGTGGCCTCATTCAAAAGACCATCGTGTGTATATTATCAGTGGTCATATGCAAACCTCGCTGACTTTGTTTATTTGCTCTCAGCCAGATTGGTTTGCTGTGTTGACTGCGACTATAAAATGTGTTTGAGGGATAATTGCTTGTGTACACTTAATGCTGTGTGCTTTTCAGAGAGGAGGGTGCAGGCATGAAAGCAAATGCATGCGTTTGCGTTGCTGTATTCCTGCATCTGTGTACATGTGCAGCATCGTTGCGCATACATATTCCTCTTTATTTGACTTGGCCACCGTTGCCTCCTGCTGTTCCTCTGTTTGTGTTACCCTCCACCGGGGTGAACACTGCAGCACAGATGACTAAGAAGGACATGACACATATTCTCTGAGGTGAGTTTCTCCACACTTCTTGGCGCTGTCTCGCTCTTCTGGATGTGGGCAGGGATCGATGCCCAGCGGAGAGGTCAGGGAGCTGGACGCGGCTCCGTCCCTGGAGGACCGGTGGGTGGACTGGTAAATTTCAGCTAATAAGTGTCGTCCAAGTTGTTCCGAATAAACCCGGCGTGATCCCGCATCCATCACACAGAAAGACTCACAAAGTGGGTTATACATCTGCACTTTATGAAAATGAAATCAAATTCCAGATTAGTCTTACAGCCCAGGAGAATACGCCGGCGTTCTTGCCAAGTTCCCACTCTGAATGATGAGTAGGAATATTGGGGGAAAGCGAAAGCAAAACACAGTGAGCTGAAACAGCCCAGATTTCATGGTCTTACCACAGAAATGCTGCTTGTTTTCAGATGAAGCAACCCCAGTGCTGCCCTGGTGTGGCCTCTGTCTTCAAAATGTGACTTTACACCCAGGGGAACAGCAGCTCTTCCAACAGAACTTTGCTGCCCTTTCACACTGAGAAACACATTAAAACCTTCAAATCAAAGAAAACAAACTTTGTCACCGGGGTATTTTTCAGCGTCACATTCAAAAGACGGAGACGCGGCTGACACAAACCTCTTTAAAGACTCCATTTGTGGTTTTAACTGACTTTCCACTCCGCATTCCACCATGTAGAAGATTGTATGTTGTCACTGGCAATATCTGAAGTGGTCTTTTTAACACAGAGCCAGTCCAGTGACACCGGGGTGACTGTCATATTGGCAAACCAACAGTCTGGATCCCTTTAAAGCTAATAAACATCAGAAAATGAATCTTTTGCGGGTTGCAGAATGGCTTTATAAACATTAGTTGCCCAAATTACATATAATCTCTTGAAGAATGCGCCACAGTGATCGTGGGTGGTCCTTGACAAATGGCATTTTCTCTTCTCCTCTGTATTCCAAAGACATCACATTCAATCATTCTTGACGTTTTATCAAGACTACCTGAAAACCTTTCATAAACACGGCGTCAGGTATATTTAGCACAGTCTTGAGTTTGCACAGCGCTGTCAGGTATCCCCCCATTCACCACAAAGACCCCATCTGGTGGAGTCTGACAGTAACTGAGGCTGGAGCTTTTATTGTGGTCTAGACTAGCAGAGGTAGCGCGGTTCTTGAAATCACAGACCCCTCTCATCAAGCCACCGGTGTGGATTCCATCTGTATCACATTACCAAGCCCTCACCGCTCTGTGATGTAGGCGCTCCTGTTCTCTGTATGTTTCAGCGTTTTAATATCACAGAAGCCAGTAAACTCTCCTGAGCTAAAGTCGACCAGAGCACCAGCCCCTCCGCTGACCCCACTGCAGCCCCCCTCCGAGATGGATATCACACTCACATAAAGGCTAACACAAAGCAGGATAACTATCGTGGCTCGGCTACTGTAGGGGCCCGGAGGCTCCAATCCTGACACGAGGCTGATAACTGGTTCGTTCAACATCCTGGATCTGAACAGAGCTAAACGATAGTGTCATGGATGCTCTGATAAAAAGGAAGTCTGGGGAAAGCTGTTGACTGACCCACAGCAGTGTCTGTACGCACCACATTAAATGACTGACTGCTTAAGAGTTAAGAAATGTTCTCAGACAAAGTATCTGCTGCATTAAAAAAAAAATAAAAAAATAAAATCTATGTGTAGATTCTTTGGAGTTAAAGTGTTTATGAAATTAGGAAACTTCTGACTTTGTGCTCCCCCTAGTGGTGAAGTATAGAAGAGACAAAGTGCACTTATTTTTAACAGACCGGCTGACACCAGGATGAACAGACCAAACTTAACATCCATCCATCCATCGTCTATACACCGCTTAATCCTCATTAGGGTCGCGGGGAGCTGGAGTCTATCCCAGCTGACTCAGGTGAAGGCAGGGGACACCCTGGACAGGTCACCAGTCTATCACAGGGCTACACTTAGAGACAGACAACCAAGCACACTCACATTCACACCTACGGACAATTTAGAATCACCAATTAACCTCAGCATGTTTTTGGACTTTGTGGGAGGAAGCCGGAGAACCCGAAGAGAACCCACGCTGCACGGGGAAAACATGCAAACTCCACGCAGAAGGATCCCGGGTGTCCCCAGCTTCTTGCTGCAAGGCAACGATGCTAACCACTGATCCACCTTGCAGCCCCAAACTTAACATATAATGCATTATGTATACAAGCACCACGTTTGGCAAACAAAACCTTGAGTTAAAAAATGACACAATCACATAAGAATTCTATAACTAACATCTTTAAAGCTGCAATACCCAACATTTTGATGGTAACAGCTGATTAAATGACTATGTGGAGTGTGGCATGGAGGGTATTTATCATATGACTAATATACAGATTGTACTGGTACACCATTAGTACCAAAGATTACACTACAATGTAATCTGTAACTTCACAGTAATTTTGTTGAGTAATCTAAAGAGTTACCAATTTTTATTTATTTCTTTTCTCGATTTTGGGATTGTTTGGTTCTTGCTGTCCTGCACATTACATGTAGGATGTGGTTCCAATAAATGCACCAAAAACACAAACCAATGTGATTAAATACACATCACTAGGTTAACGGCACATATCTTTATTGTTTAAACCACACAAGTATCATGCAAATAACAATATGATTTTAGGATACATGTCATTTATTGCTTTTGCTCATCATATTACCTCTTACGTGTCTGTTACGTCTTTTTTTTCAGATGACTCTTACAAAAGATGGAGAAAAAGGCTGGACTTCCACAAGTGGCTCCAAACAGGCTGCTGTTTGCTACCAAGTTTCCCATAACAACTGTGAAAGCAGAACTACAATTAATGTCCAGATGCACGCCCCACTTCAGTGATGAGAGCAGAAAAATGACCGTGAAGGCTCTGAGAAAACCAGCGGATGTGACTGTGTGTCATTACTTGGACAAACATCCAGCCGAGCGTCTCCTTTGACTCTGTGCATAGGATAACAGTGTTTATTTAGCTTTAATCATCCACTGTCTCATATTAAAGAGAGTTAACTTTATGACTTCCTTTGTGTCCCTGTCTGAAATTCAAACCTCACTACTTCCCAGCCCCCTCCTCCTCCTCCTCCTCCTCTTCCTCCCCACGACTGAGCCAACAAGCCAACTCACTATTTATTCTTCTCTATGTGAACCGGCGTGCGAGTCATGTCTGTGTAAATACAGGTGAAATGAGAGATCTGGCTGCAGGAGTGGCGTATGTTGGTTAGATTTAACAGGCCATGCAATAGTTATTTTTTCACTCTAATCCTTATTCCAGAGCTCTTGGCACGCATCTGCTTTCAAACACTGCCCAATGAATGTTGTTAATATGAGCACTAAATCTCAATTAACAACAAGGAAGCAATTCCGTTGCTCCCGAGGAGATTTATCTGCCATGGCGGCAAGGTTTGGGGATTGGAGCAAGAGTAGGGAGGATTGAAAGTGGAGTCTAAACACACTGTAGAGGAGACAGCTCCTTACACACAGCACCTGGAGAGACTTTCACTGATTCATCACTGCTGGTGGTAACAAGCTCTAATGCTACCAAATGAAAGAAAACAGCTCTGCTCTGCTTTGGACTGCACACATTATGTGGTTCTGGCTGCGGGTTAGCGAGTTCGGTTTCAGAATCCCCAGAAAATAATCCATCACATCCCTTTAACAGGATTGGAACCCGATGCCATAGAAATATGGCAGCAACACAGACTGTCTCTGTGGTAGGATAAAGGCTTATTTTAACAACTACATATTGAAAATAAAATCCACATTTAAACTGGATAAATGCTGCGCAGACACGGCTTAGACGGCAATTATGATGCTTCATTACCGCAATAATTCTGACGCTTCATTTGAACCTCTGGATCCAAAAGTTCATCAGGATTTTTTAAGCCTGAAGTCGCCATAAACGTGTCTGCTTACTTGCATAACTCGATTAGTGCAGTCATGTGAAGTAATAAATATATTCCCTGGAAACTGTTGGACTTTTGACACCTTTAACCAGCAAACTTTGATTGTTTTTGTCATCATGTCAAGATCTGAAGAGCTTCTCAGAAAAAAAAGGTTGTAGATGGCTTTAAAAAGATTTAAAGATTTTAAAAAAATAAAATAAAAAGACATAACAGAAAAGCTACAGTTTGTCAGTGAACACAGACTTAAAGAGCAGGACCTCTGGAATAATCTGTTATGGATGGAACAATCACAAATCGAGTGTTTTGGCTGCAGTAACGGCAGACATGTTTGGCAGCTTTTTCAGAGGAGAACCTCACGCTAACTGTGAAACACGGAGCTGGAAATGTTCTGGTTTGTTTCTGTCTCGCTGCCTCAGCGACCGAGCAGCTTACGCTCATTGATTCAACTAATTCAGCTCAATGCTGCATCGTAGGAAAGAGTGCTGGAAGACGATCTGTGTGAAAGTTGAAGTGAAGTGAAAGTTTCAACAGGCATTTGGCAAAACGCCTACAAGAAGTTGTTTCTGCTAAAGGGAGCGATGAAGACTTCTGATTTGTCCACAGAAGAATATTTCATCTGTTCATATTTTTGTTGAAAAAATGACAAAAATATTAATAACTGGATTTATTCTGATGGCACAGTTATTATTATATCACTGGTGTCGGTATAAACTGGGTCGTCTCAGGTGTTTGTAAGTTTTTACGCAAGATCTTTTAACATTTTACATGATTTAAATAAACTTTCTCCACTTATTTTATGTAAATTTAAAAGATTTTAATGCAAAATTTCTACTTTCTTTTGTCCTTTTTTTGTACCACTTGAAGACTCAACACGAGTATTTCTAACTTAAATCTTTGTGGTTTTGAATGATGAGCTGAATGTTGATTTCACTCATTAAATTAGGAAACAATTCATTACTTCAGGAAACAATTACAAATCAATTAATAATTAATCAACTAATTACATAGCAAACCTGATGAAAGTTGGTTTTTAGCTCAGTTGCTTCGACGCCTTTAAATGTACATGAATGAACACAGTTTTGTCTGTTTACTGACTACAGATGTGAGTTTATCTGAAATGAAGAAATTCTTTGTGTCAGCTTGAAGAACAATAACTCAGAACGTAGATAACTGACGACATTATTTGAATTACTTGATTAGTTTTAGAAATCACCAACTTTGAATTAAAACCTTAAATTACAAGGAATTTGAAATAAATTTGCAGGTTGGACCCACCGATGCAGTTCAACAAATTAGCAAATCTAACAACCAAACTAAGCAGTGATTTACACATCTTGCAACTTCTAATCAAGATAATATTTGGTTGTGTTTCAAGAAGACTTTGTATTTTCTTATTTATTGTACTATTTTTTTAGCAGCCCTTTTGTTTTGTTTTGTTTGTTTTGGTAATATTAATTCATTAAAGCTAACTCGCTGAAAGATTAAAGTTGGAGAATAACTTGCAAATGATTTAAAACTTTTCCACACATCTTTTGTTATTTGAAAGCACTTGACATTCTGACCCTTAACAATCCAAAACCTTGCTATCCGACAGGTTTTTAGGAAAAACGAACAGAAGCCATTAAAAACAGCCTTAACATACCGACAGCCTTGGATTCTGACTCCGACATGACATTTTATGTCACAGATAAGGGTAACAGCGTATTATCTGACTGTACAATACACATTCAGACTTGATGCTCAATTCAGATTTTTTTGTGAAATCCGACCGCAAACTAAACTAACATCAGCAGCCAAGTACTGCCTGTGCATTGCGGCCACCTCCACTCCGTCGGAGCGCTCCCCCGGGGTGGAAGTTAGAAATCCAGCGATGTGTAGTGTTCTAACAATACACTAGTTATTATAACAACTATTAACAACAAATGAGCCTTCCAGCATCAAGCCCTCCTTGTATCTCGACCTCCGTCTTGACAATCCGACAGCCTTGCTATCCGACATAAAAGAAGGTTTTACATTTAGTGTTTGATTATCGAGTCACGGCTGTATTACTATTTTACATACTGTTTATGAAGGACGTGATGTAACTGATGATGCTAAGTTAGTTGAGGTTATTACGGTCATTTGGTCTTTTAGTGTAACTTTATGAACATAAACCTTCAAGGTGTCATTTTCATTAATGTAATTTAAAAACGTCAAGTTTACCTAAATTATTAAACGCGTTATGGGCGGCTGTGGCTCAGGTGGTAGAGCGGGTTGTCCACTGATGGCGGTTCGATCCCCGGTTCTCCCCACATGTCTAAGTGTCCTTGGGCAAGACACTGAACCCCAAATGGCTCCCAATGGTAGATTAGCGCCTTGCATGGCAGCTCTGTCGCCATTAGTGTATGAATGTGTGTGTGAATGGGTGAATGAGAAACATTGTAAAGCGCTTTGAGTGCCGCAAAGGTAGAAAAGCGCTATATAAGTGCAGACCATTTACCATTTACTATTATTATGAGGTGTTGGATTTATTGGTCTAGATACACTGAAGAGTTAAATAATTGCTCTCTACATTAGAACTAGTCACATTCAATAATGAATTCAGGGTTGCATATATGACACAGTAACATTCTAACTTGGCTAACTTTGACCTCATGACCAGCTGGTGGAGCTGACAGCTGATGTCAGACATGAATCATTACTCCACCGTTAGCAATAAGTTTTTCCCCGTCGTCATCTCCTCGTCTGAGATAAACGAGCATTCAGAGCTACGCTGACCCTTGACCTCACAGCAAGGTGGTGTCTTTTCATTCTTTTCTGTCACCGAGCGTTCACATGAAACGAGGAACCGAACACGTATGGAGCCCACATTGTTCTCCGGGCGACCCGCTGCTGCCAAACCAAGCCGGTCTCCTGCCATCCTCTGCTCCCCGTGTGAGGGCTGCTCCACAGTTCACCTCCTCGACAGCACACGCAGGCCGAGCACGACTTCAAAGCTTCTTCCTTGTAGGCACTTCTCTGGGTGTGTTTGTGGTACGGCTAAAGCATGTTCCTAATTTCATTTTCTTTCCCTTTTAAACAAGACTTGTTTGGTCGCCTATGAAATAACTTCATGTAGTTTGAATTACAGAGAGCTGTCATCCAACTGTGCTGTTTCCCTCAGCGAAGGACATTTTTAGCCTCTTTTAACTCGTTGTTTTAGTTTTCTGGCCCTCAGCTTTATTAATGTTGCAGCTCATCATCAGTCACGTCATGTAATGTGTGTTCTCAACGTGTTGTCAAACTGAAGCAGGATTCCACCACAAGTTTATCTTTTGTCTGTCAAATATATCGACCAGTAGTAGAGAAGTTAAACATGTTGTTAAATTGTGTTTTTACTTTTAGCTGCAGTTCTGTTGCATGTAACACAAACACAGCTGGGATGTAACACTTGAGCACCTTGGACTTTATTTGTCAATCACAGCCTGTGGTTCAAAATGAGCTGTCATCCATTTATGTGTTCTGTTTGACTCAAGCTGCTTAAAATTTGAATGAGACACTGTGATGTATGGAATGTATCTGCAGAGGATTTTGGGTCAGAAGGTCCAGAAAAGCAATTCAGCTTGAATACTGCAAAATGCAACCAGATATCTGTCATGCTGCATTTGATGTACCGTACATTTTGGGCTATAAGCCACTACTTTTTTCACACGCTTTGAAAACGAGATGCAGCGAATTTATGGATTTTTATGGATTTGCCTCGAGAGCGACAACGAAAGAGAGACTGAGGAAGTTTGTGAAGAAGTAATTCTGAGGCTGTTCAACACTGAAGAAGACGACTTTAGTGGTTTTAGTGCAGGAGGAAGATGAAGATAGTGATCAATGACTTCTCCTGGTAGGATACTGTATCTTTTATTCTTTTAACCAGCCGTGTTACCGGCACTGTTCGGGAACAAAAGCATTTATATATTTGTGTGTGTTACCGGTACGTATTTAATTAAAAGTTGAAAAAATCTTTCTGTGTAAATATCTCATGTTACAACGTGGACACCTGCAGCTTATAGACAAGTGCAGCCTGTATATGTACACATTTGTTTTCTTTTAAAATTAGCGGGTGCGGCTTATATTCAGGTGCGCTCAATAGTCTGGACATTACGGTCCTATGTGTTGGGATATATTACAGGATTTTCTATGGAAAGTCTCCATTTCAGGTGGAACACTGCTTTCAAATGTTCTCCATGTAGAACAAACTTGTAGCTCTCCTCTTTGTCCTTTCAGGCCAAATCACACTCCTCTTTGCCCGTTTGTGTCCAAGGAACAAACTCTTTCTTTTACTGGCTTAGCAGAGAAAAGAGAAAGAGCATGTTTGGCTTTGGTGACAGAGAACCCGTCAGAAGTCAATCTGAACAGTGGCACATCGCTGTCTTCTGAGCTCCTCCTGGCTTTTTCGTGTGCGTTGCTTGGGTTTATCTGTGCGCTCTCACACACGTATGCAGCGACTGTTTGCATGCGTGTGATCCTAATCGTGCGTCCTGGTCCCGTCCGTCCGGCGTGTTTGCTTTGTGCTGACATGCGGTGCCGCGGCCGTTTATCTGCACCTTCACTAGACACACAGGCAGCCAGGAATGTGTGTGGGAGAGGACAGCGCTGAGCTAACAGACTCTTCTTCCAGCGTCGTCTCTGTTTACCTGCCATTGTTCACAGCTTCTGTGTGGAGATGAAGAGAATGGAATGATTTATGTGGTTAGTGACAACAACAAGTGTTTGGGCTGCTGTGGCGCCGATGCACTTCTTTGTCCCGCGGAATCGGCTGAAGCCCGGAGGCGCTGGCTTTTCAGCGGCGTTTATTTGCGGAAACTTTTTACAAAATGTTCAACTGCTAGCTGTTTATGTGTGATTATTCAAGTTTAGGAAAACAGGGTGATTTTTACAAGAGTTAAAGTTAAAACAGCATCTCGCGTGCCACCAGAAGAGACAGACAGGACTTCTTAATGAAGTCAAGTTGCCTTGCTCCCCCCTGCTCCTCTCTTCTGCTGCATCTGATATTGTTGATGTTGTTTTTCTTTCTTTCTTCCTGAAAAATGAATAGTGGCTCTGTCACGTCAGGGAGTAGGGAGCTCTGGGTTGTCTCCTTCCTGCTGCCTGTCTTATCTCGTGCACAGATCCTGGCCTGTTCT